CTGAAAGAACTCTCGGCTTTATTAGGCAGAATGAACCATTCCTCCCAAGTGGGTCTAGCTCAGGGACCTTTGCATTATCGTGCGCTACAGAGGCAACATATCAACAGCATTCGCCAGAGCAAACGTCTCTCAAACAAGACAAAGGTCTATCTAACAGGAAATCATTATTAACCGACCTCCAATGGTGGATTTCGACGCAGATACATCAGTTCAACAAGTGTTTAATCTCACTACCAGAGTTCGACCTGGTCATTTACACCGATGTGTCCAATCAAGGATGGGGAGCACAGTGCAACGGAATCATGACAGGGGGACGATGGAACATCCAAGAATCCAGACAACACACAAACATTATCGAAATGAAAGCATGGCCTTCTGGCCATCCAGTCTTTTCTGACGACACAGGTAAAAATGCCACAACATATTGGTCTGCAGAAGGACAACTCTACAGCAGTTGCATATGTCAACAAGAGAGGGGGAGCCAGGTCTTCGACTTTAGCAGCCTTGGCAGTTGAAATTTGGAACGTTTGTCAACAGAAAGGAATATGGATAACAGCACAACACCTTCCGGGAGTACAGAATGTCGATGCCGATTGGGCTTCTCGTCACTTCAACGAACGCACAGAGTGGACTCTGGACAAGTCGATCTTCACACGTATAGTCACAAAGTATTACACTCCACAAGTCGACTTGTTTGCATCTCGGCTCAATCATCAACTACCCCTCTATGTTTCCCGGCACCCAGATCCGGGTGCAATGGAAGTCGATGCAATGACATTACAATGGAACAGATGGACATCGTTTATTCATGCGCCAATTATAATGCTTCTCCGCATTCTGAAGAAGATACGAGAAGATCAGGCAACCTGTCTACTCATTGCCCCGAACTGGCCGGGCCAGACATGGTATCCGCTACTATTGGAGATGTTGGTCAACATTCCGTCCCTTCTTCCAATGACGGAAACGAGTCTGTATCTACCTTTCGACCGGGAAGTGCAACACCCTCTGTGGAGAACAATGAAGCTGGCGGTATGGCCACTTTCAGGGAACGTTGTCGAGCAGGAGGTCTTCCACTGCAAGTTTGTGACAACCTTATGGCCTCCTGGTGAGAAGGAACGAAAAAGAGATATGAAGGTCCTTGGAGACTTTGGACTAGCTGGTGTGTCTCACGGAATCAATGTCCATTTTCAGCCACTGTAGCAGAAGTTTTACAGTTTTTGACTGAACAGTTTCATACTCGAAAGCTTTCGTACCGAACGATCGGTGTTTACAAATCATGCATATCTCAACTACATGATCCAATAGATGGACAACCACTGGGAACTATTTCGCTTTTTTCCCGTTTTATGAAAGGTGTCTTTGAACTTCATCCACCAACACCCAAGATATGCGTAACCTGGTCAGTTGGGACATTATTAGAGCATTTAAAGAATATGGCACCAAACGAGAACCTCTCACTTAAAGAGTTGACTCTTAAAACGACAATCCTGTTGGCGCTTACGTCTTCAGCCAGGGCTCACGAACTCGCAGCATTGCACTTGGATTATGTATCCCAAAAGGAGAACGGTTGGGAGTTTGTAATACCTAAACATGTAAAGAATTCTCGGCCGAATCACCCAGCAAGAAAGATTTATCTTCCATCCTTACTAGAAAACCAAAAGATTTGTGCTATTGAGAGTCTGAAACAATACGTTAATCGAACAGCTCGTATTCGCAAGGACCAGCATCTACTCGTGTCGTATACCTCGCCACACTCGGCTATTGGAAGTCACACTGTATCACGCTGGATACGCACTGTATTGTCCACTGCAAGTATTGATGCTCATTGAGGTACACGGGTCATACTACGCGAGCTGCAGCAACATCAATGGCTGCCAAGAGCGGTGTTCATCTTGAGGATATCATAGCTGCTGCTGACTGGTCTTCAGCAACAACGTTCGAGAGATTTTACCACAAGGCTATCTCAAAGGATAAGTTTGTTAAAAGTATTTTGTTCCCGGACGTACAAAAATGACATTACTGTTTGCATTCCAAGTTACATTAGTTAACAACTTTTGGAAATGTGTTGTTGATATTGTTTTGTGTTCATTTCAGATTAAAATTTTATATTTACATTGATTAACAGTTGTCTTTGAAATCTGCACCAGTATTGCGAGTATCAGTCGGTGAAGGAGTGAAGGAGAAATAGTATTTCCTCGGAAGGTACTTACCTGAAAGGGAGATATGGTTCTTTGAACTCCTTCGAAGACTGATACGAGCAATACTGGTCCCCATACCAGTGGTGGTAGATACCTATACCACCCCACCCTAGTCTGTTAATCAACATTCAGCTTGCCAATCAATCAGAGGATGTCAGTACGCATGCACATGAATTAATATTTAAAATCGTGGGTTCCAAGCCCTCGCGCGCCGCGAACTGCACCAGTATTGCTCGTATCAGTCTTCGAAGGAGTTCGGAGAACCATATATCCCCTTCACGTAAGTACCTTCCGAGGAAATGCTATTTCTCTTGTGTTTATATGAGAAAATTTCATCCCGCTTGCCGGGACAATTTTGTTACATTGTACTGTTTTGACAGTTGTTAAAAATAGCTTGCGGCGGTATCTTTGAACTTTCATCCCGGCAACCGAGTTAGCCCGCTTGTGAGTGTTTATATGGAGAAATTTCCATCCCGGTAAGCGAGATCTCCCCTCTTTCAAGCGAGATCTCGGCAACCGGTCCAGCCCGCTTGTCCATATAAACGCACGATAATTTTACTATAAAAATAACTACACAGCGAGATCTCGCATACCGGGCTGTCTCGCTTAGCGGGCCCGCCCGGCTTCCATATAAACAGGCCCTAACATAGATAATGAGTTGTATTGTTATTCTAATGAGTTTCCAAACCATCTATTCTATTAACTATGGTTACACGTACTACACGTTTAGGTTACACCTACTTTACATAATAATCTATAGTAAAATATATAGAGGATATTACACGGCGGCGCGAAGATAGGACCGTTTATCTTCGAGTGGTGAAAACAATATTTTACGAACGAGCGCAGCGAGTGAGTAAAATATTGTTTTTAACACGAGAAGATAAAAGTCATATCTTCAAGTCAACGTGTAATGTTCTGTTTATCATATAGTCCGAAGCAAAAAATTGTATAAATACTAAAAGTCACGTGATCGATATCCTCACTAGAGAAGATATGGAAAATATGTCACTGCGTATTTTTCAGTATCTCACTCTCTACTATATAATAAATAGAGGATATTTCACGGCGGCACGGAAATATGACTTTTATTTTCGAGTGGCGAAAACAATATTTTACGAACGAGCGCAGCGAGTGAGTAAAATATTGTTTTCAACACGAGAAAATAAAAGTCATATTTCCAAAGCCACCGTGAAATGTTCTTTTTATTATATGGATAAAAGTTGAAGCAAAAACAACAAAACGTATGACTTTATTAGTTTATTCAAGTTTTGTTTTCTGTTTTGTAGCTCACCGTATGGCAACAATGTTTATGTCTCTCCGCTTGCTAATCGAGGCTAAATAGTCGCTGAAGATCGCCAAATAGGACTAATTAGTCTTCCTTTTTGTGTTTTCATATTCTTCAGAAAACCTTGCCAAATCAGCGTCGAAAACATCAACAAAATGTCGAGAAGTTGTCATATTGTATATTCAAAACAGAAACGGCAAAATGGCGGGAGTTAGCGTGGGTCCCGCGCGAGACGTTCCCGCGTAAGATATGATTTCATATTTCACTACAGTGAAATACAGAAAATATCAGTGGCGTATTTTACGGTATTTTACTCATATCCATATAATAAATAGCAATATGACACGTTACACCCAATTATATATAAAAGAACTATATATTTATTTTTAAAAATAACGGTTGTAACGTGTCATATCTCTATTTATATTGCAGTAAATTCTGAACGCTGATTGGCTGAGAGCCGTGTTGATATAACTCAATGTCAACACGGAAACGTCGGAAAACTTCTTTCTTTATATTTCTTTGTGCTATTCGGGCGTCGTGTTTCCACACAATTTCTCTTTTTCCCAATTTCCACTCGTGTTGATATAACTGTATATCAACACGGAAATGTTTTATATTTGTTAAATGTTTTACTACAGATTATTATGTAACGTGTGCTGTAACGTGTGTGTAACGTGTCTAGTCAGTACGTAAAAATAGATTAATTGATATTTTGCGCATGTTCGACCAGATTTGCTTGCGCTCATCTCACATAATCCCAAAATCATAGATGGAAGTTTGCAATAAATTCTAGTGCAAGTTTACGATCGGTAAGTCCGTATATTGTTATACTTTATAATTTCATTTATTTGTGAATCAAATAATGTGTAAGGATAAAGATCAAGTAAGACTAACTAACATAATCAAAGATGGCGATCCTATTTAACTACGTGGCATGCCAATTAGTATCCATATATGGTAGTCCACAGGTACCATGACATCCCTCTTTTTCTAAAGTAAAATTGACAAAACCAAAAACTAAATGTCAAATGTCAATTAATTGTTCACTAATTAAAAATTCAGTAATTGATAATTAATTGTTCACCTAAATCACTAATTAAAACTAAATGTTTAATAACGATCGTAACTGTTTATCGAAGCATTACAATACTATAACAAGATTGTAAAATTAAACTATTAACTAATTGTTATTATATTCTATAAATTCAATCTGTCCAGGCGGTTAATAACACGGGTAGATCTTCTCAGCTTCGGGGTTTGAACATTCTGTGTCTCTTCAACTTTGACCTATGGGCCCGGGACTTGGCCCAGTCCTTGGCCCAGTCCTTGGCGCAGTCCTTGGCCCAGTCCTTGGCCCAGTCCTTGGCCCAGTCCTTGGCCCAGTCCTTGGCCCAGTCCTGGCCCCCGGACTTGGCCCAGTCCTGGGCCCGGGATTTGGCCCGGGACTGGGCCCGGGATTTGGCCCGGGACTGGGCACGGGACTGGGCATGGGACTGGGCATGGGACTGGGTACGGGACTGGGCACGGGACTGGGCACGGGACTGGGCACGGGACTGGGCACGGGACTGGGCACGGGACTGGACACGGGACTGGACACGGGACTGGGCACGGGACTGGGCACGGGACTGGGCACGGGACTGGGCACGGGACTGGGCACGGGACTGGGCACGCGACTGGGACCGGGACTGGGCACGGGACTGGGACTGGGACCGGGACTGGGACTGGGACTGGGACTGGGACTGGGACTGGGACCGGGACTGGGACCGGGACTGGGACCGGGAGGCCCCGAGGGCTCCGAGGTCGCCGAGGCCCCAGACATGATATGCTGATCACAGTTGTCTCCATCGTAACCATCCCGACATTCGCAGATGAAACGTTTCCAGGGCTTCTTGGCGGAGTTGAATGGTTTACATGTATTCTTCCCGGAACAGAGACCAGATTGTTGTTGACAACAATTCTGATTCTTTGGACAAGGTATGGTCGAACAGTGGTCGTCGAATTTCTAAGAAGATAAAAGCATTGTACTTTATTCCCAAGGACTTTCCCTGACAGGGATCGTTTTGCATAGCTAGGTAGAATGAGAGTTGGCCATTCAACGATTCTTGTACACTGACTGAAAAATCGATAAGGCAAACTCGGATCGGAGAATTAGTTATTTTAAAAAATAACGACTATTGGATGTGGAATTCAAAATTGTATTTACTCCTAGGATTGGGCAAAGAGCGAGCTATGCTTACAGGCTGGACAGGACCAACTTTACTGTGCATGGAATTCAAATAAAGTAATGCTGTTGGCTCTATCTTTTCAAACATTTGTTATGAAAGTATATCTAAATAGTATAAAAATAGTTCAGTTTGCACCCCAGGTAATTATACATACCAGTTACGTCAAATGGAGAGATAATGAGTATTTTTGCTGTAAAACGCGGCATGTTGTAAAAGACGGACTGGACTGGACCGGGAAAACGCGGACTAAGTCCGTGTTTTACAAATTGCGGACTGAATTTGTAAAACACGGACTGGACTGGACTGGACTGGACTGGACCGGATCGCAAACTGAGATTTGTAAAGTCTGTAAAACGCGGACTGAGTCCGTGTTTTACAAATCGCGGGCTGCGATTTGTAAAAGGCAGACTCATTCAATACCGTCCCTTTCAACTAAGGATGAACGGTCGCGGATAAAACGTTGTCTATTCTCATGAAAAAGTTCAATGTTTTTACCGAGAAAGTTCAATATATGTTTGTGATGATCATGATCATTTGGTGGTTTCAAAGCTTGGATCTGGTTGTTCAACAGATTAAAATCAGATCGGAACCTGTCAAGTGCTCTTGACAAACATCGAAGATTCTCACGCGAATAGGCAATGTTTTTATGAACGACCGTTCATCCTGCAAGCGACGGAGAGAGTTTTGGCGGAAATTGCACTCAGTCGTGAGAGTTTAGGGGGGAATTGCAGAATAATAGATCGGTCGACGAATAATAATATCCAGTGGAGCTATAAGGTTGGTATAAATTACTATTATTTATTTATTGTTTTGAATAAACAGATGAACAGCGTTCAACAGTTATGAACACGCTCAGTCATATGGGATTTTGTGCCACCATTGTCGAGGAAACTCATGTGTATATCAAATGTGCCCGTTTCATATTAAATGTATTTAAATAGCTGTATCCAGGACCTTTCAGAGGGAGGCAAAGGGGGAAATTTGCACAGAGCCTTTAGGGCAATTCACAGGGCCTTTCAGAAGGGGGGGGGGGAGGGGCAAAGGGGGAAATTTGCCCCGGGCGACCCAAAGAGGCCCCCAATTTTCGAACGTTTTTTTATATAAATAATAGGATGAGAAAAAATTTTCTAAACCTAAATTTTACAGATATTAGTCCCCCAATCCTCCCCCTGCTCGAACATTTTTGGGAATAATAGGGGCCCCGAAATAAAAATTCGCCCCAGACCCCCGAGTTTCTCTGATAGGTCCTGGCTGTATCCTGTATAGATATGGCTCTTTAATATAGCAGATACCATTTTAGTGTTATTAAATCATAATTAGACAAGAATAGAGTTAATTATAAGTATTGTTAAGTATTGAAATTTAAAATGGTTACTATAAATTTGCGAGAAATATGAAATGAATACTATAATGGTCCATAATCCGAATAAACGATACTTAGAAACGTCCTCGTACGACATTTAAATTTATTGCAATTTATATGCACAACACTACCTTTGATGTTTTGATGGCCTGTGAGAGTTTCGTCGTTAATAACACAATTTAAAAGGTATATATATTCGATTACAGTATTTATTTCATATTTCTCGCAAATTTATAGTAACATTTTAATACGCCGCTTCGCCACGAACACAAAATAAACAAATTAACTCTATTTTCGTCTAATTATCATTAACACTAAATGGTATCTGCTATATTAAGAGCTATCTATATCTATACAGGATACAGCTATTTAAATACATAAAATATGAAACGGGCACATTTGATATACGCATGAGTTTCCTCGACAATGGTGGCACAAAATCCCACATGACTGAGCGTGTTCCTAACTGTTGAACGCTGTTCATCTGTTTATTCAAAGCAATAAATAAATAATAGTAATTTATACCAACCTTACAGCTCCACTGGATATGATTATTCGTCGACCGTCTATTATCTGCATTTCTCGCCTAAAGTCTCACGACTGAGCGCAATTCCCGCCAACACTCTCACCGTCGCTTGCAGGATGAACGGTCGTTCATAAGAATCATATTGTCTATTCGCGTGAGAATCGTCGATGTTTGTCAAGAGCACTAAGTGGCGGAAGTCTTGGGGGCGGCCGCCCCCTCGCCCCCCCCCCCCCACCTTCACGGAAAATTGATGAATTTTCGGAAATTTTGACCTAAAAGAGGGCTAAAAACAGTCTCTTCGAGTGCAAATGGGGGGGGGAGTATGTCGGAAATTTGAAAGTTCTGTCGGAAATTTAGGAGGCTTTGCCCCCACCGGAAAAAGTGAATTTCCGCCACTGAGAGCACTTGACAGGATTTGATCTGATTTTAATCTGTTGAACAACCAGATCCAAGCTTTGAAACCGCAAATGAACATGATCATCACAAACATTGAACTTACCCGGTAAAAACATCGAACTTTGTCATGAGAATAGACAATGTTTTATGACTTTTATCTGCGACCGTTCATCCTTAGTTGCAAGCGACTGAATTGAATCGCAGCCCGCGATTTGTAAAACACGGACTCAGTCCGTGTTTTACAAATTCAGTCCGCGATTTGTTAAACACGGACTCAGTCCGCGTTTTCCCGGTCCAGTCCAGTCCAGTCCGGTCCAGTCCAGTCCAGTCCAGTCAAGTCCAGTCCAGTCCAGTTCAGTCCAGTCAAGTCCAGTCCGTCTTTTACAACATGCCGTAAAACGCAGATAAAGTAAATATCATTTCGGACTTGTGTAAAAGTCTCAGTTATCTTTCCATTAGGCAAGATAAATGATTTATCAAACTGTCAAAGTCCAAGGCTGGTACTTCTTTGACATGGAAAATGTGCATGCTTAGGGCGTTTCTGTCAATCATTATTCGGTATATTTCGCGCGGTCTAGTAATTATAACATTACGTCATCAAAATCTCGTTCAATAGAATTGTAAGTATAAATTTAATTTAGTAGGTAAAGTAAGGTTCACATAGGTATAGGTTGAAGATTTTACTATGATATTTTGATAAGTATTTTAAGTTGTGAACATATTTTAACATTGATCGATTGAACAGCGAACCGACTCGACCAGTGCGACAACGCCTTAAATAAACAGAATGTGAGAGCTGGAACGAGCTAGCAACGCCAGCCCACACTTTTATAACTCAACGTTGATTGGCTGGATACAAATCCGACCACTTGCTAGAGCACGAGTACAAAGATCCCCTCAACCGTTAGTATAATAGGGCGTGCACAACCCAAATTCGTCAGTGGACTATCGGGTGGACTAAACGAAGTAAAAATCATGTGTGAAAAGTTGTAGAAAGCTCAAAACGAAACAAGACGAACAACGAATACGCAGTAAAGACGAACTAAACACAACGAAGAAAGGCTGCAGAGAGAAGAGAACTTTCAAGCAGAACTATTCCAATATTAACATTAGTGACAATAATTAGAAAAGTTGTAACGATTCACTACCGAAATAAAGCCTCGTAACAGTGGTGAAGAATGCGGGCTTAATTAAAAAGATCCCGGTAAAGCTTACGAGGTCCTCGCGCAGACATATTTCCCGTGTATAAACAATAAACTCTTGACGATATAGTTCCACGCGTCATAAAATCACTTGCAAGATGAACTGTCGATGTTTTCTGGCGTTGTTGTTCTTCTTCAAACTTGTGGCCGCAGTTTCTTCGGGAACAATTGCTCAGGTAGATCACTTCGCAAATCAAGGTAACCTTCCAGCCGAGTGTTACAATCCAAGTGGTAATATGTCCCTGGTCGCGGAGGATACCGTTTGGAAACCCCCGTGGTTGAAAGTACGAATATGACGCGGATCTATATAACTTCAAATTCCCGATAACGACGGACATGAACACTGACTTGAAATTGGGCACTCTTAAGTTTTGTATATATATATTTTTATTATTTACATTATGATTTATTACTCGTTTTTCGACTAAAATTGCATGCGATTTGTGTATTTTTTTCTTATTATTAGCCAGACTCGTAAGAATATATATGCCAACCCAAAATATCTTAGGTACACTCAACACATATAGCTACATGTTACCGTAGGTTAGCGCATGCATGCAATTAGTTGGGTCAGATTTAAAAAAAGTATTTTAACTAATCATTTTTATGTGTTTCAACTTATTTGTATATATTATTTTGTTTTCTCTCCCCGGGACAGTCAAAGGGACTCCCATTCCTTTTGAACGGATTAGGATTTCTTTTCAAGCCAAAAGCATAAATATTATGCACATTCTTGTTAACTTTTCTCTATGTAGATTCGGTATAACTTTTCCGTCGGATGAAAACCCACATTTGGAGTTTGATACGCTACGCATGACGTTTGTTAAATTAGATAAGTTTGAGTATTATTAAGAAGTATAAAAATGTCGTTGCATGTATTTGAAAATTTTTGAAGTTTAAGATGTTTATTAATTTAAGAAGTATATTAAATTAAGGAATATTTAAAGTAAATATTCAGTTTTAGGTTATTATTATAGAGAAATATTATGTCGGAAGAGCTTTATAATAATCTCCTGTTGTGTACAGTTTATCAACCAAGAATTTGAATAAAATTTTCGCTGTGTCAAAAGTAAGTTATCAGTTTATGAAAATTAAATCAGTTTTGGCAGACGTTTTGATTGAATCGACAAAATAATTTGTTTTAGTCCCTAGTACATATACTTTGAGGAAAACAAACAATTTTGTGCTTTGTTTTCACATTCATTTTAGTGTGACTTACTTACACTCATTTTGGTGTGACTTACTAAAATATATTATTAATTAAGTAGATTACTCCTGAGGTGCATTTAGGCATAAGTATAATATTTCTTGTATAATCTCTTATGTAGTGTGTTAATATATAATTGGTCATTTAACACGTACTATATGTATGGACTCAGTTATTAGGCATTTGGTAATATGCCCGTGTTAAGCCACGCCAAGCTTAAAACAATATGAACAATATATAGTCATTTATTTTTTATATATCTCGAAAGCTGAGGGCAGCTTAATCCAGGCGGGAAGGATTGTTACGAAAGTATATCTAAATCATATAAAAATAGTTCAGTTTGCACCCCAGGTAATTATACATACCAGTTACGTCAAATGGAGAGATAATGAGCATTTTTACTGTAAAACGCAGATGCCATAAAAGTGTCAATTACCTGTGTAAAAGTGTCAATTATCTGTCCATTAGGCAAGATAAATGCTTTGTCAAACGGTCAAAGTGGGACGATAGCATTGCATGGTGGGCTGTTGTGTTTACATAATTCAAAGTCCAAGGCTGGTTCTTCTTTGACATGGAAAATGTGCATGCTTAGGGCGTTTCTGTCAGTCATTCTTCGGTATATTTCGCGCGGTCGAGTAATTATAACATTACGTCATCAAAATCTCGTTCAATAAAATTGTAAGTATAAATTAAATTTTGTAGGTAAAGTAAGGTTTACATAGGTATAGGTTGAAGATTTTACTATGATATTTTGAAAAGTATTTTAAGGTGTGAACATATTTTAATATTGATCGATTGAACAGCGAACCGACTCGACCAGTGCGACAACGCTTTAAATAAACAGAATGTGAGAGCTGGATCGAGCTAGCAACGCCAACCCACACTTTTATAACTCAACGTTCATTGACTGATACAAATCCGACCACTTGCTAGAGCACGTGTACAAAGATCCCCTCAACCGTTAGTATAATAGGGCGTGCACAACCCAAATTCGTCAGTGGACTATCGGGTGGACTAAACGAAGTAAAAATCATGTATGAAAAGTTGTAGAAAGCTCAAAACGAAACAAGACGAACAACGAATACGTAGTAAAGACGAACTAAAAACAACGAAGAAAGGCTGCAGAAAAAAGAGAACTTTGAAGCAGAACTATTCCAATATTAACATTAGTGACAATAATTAGAAACGTTGTAACGATTCACTACCTAAATAAAGCCTCGTAACACATTAACAAGAGTGAATTTAAGCCGTAACGTTGTGAGACGAAAAATTGGAAAAGCATATTTGCAAAGTTTAAAAACGTGATCATACCTGAGCATTTCGCATGTCGTACATAGCATACATGCAGGTATCATTGTCATGAAGCAATGAGCTGTTCTCTTCTTTGTGACTTGAACACAGCTGACATTTTGTCCCTCCACAAATTTGAAACGACTGACACCGACAGTCCTCTAAACAGTGCTCCAGACAATCTGCTATGTTTCCAGTGTCGAATGTTTGCCCGATGATATAGAAGTCGTCAAACGTTTTGTTTTTCACTGCTTTTATGGTCAATTGTGGTTGACTGTTGAACGCCAACGTGTAAGACAGTGTTGCCAAAATGATGGCGCCCAAACTATAGAAGAGAAACTTGTATAGGTCATCTTCTGACACTCATTTATCAGTTGTCAGATGAATGATATCCAGTAATTATAGGTCACTTGTTATTTCTATATGTTAAGTTGAAGAACATGTTCTAAACTCTTGTAAGATGCGAAGCATGCTCTGTAAATTCAATAGAGTCGTTCTGGGGGTCAATAATATTTGCTTTTTGACACTGATGTGTCAACGCTATTTGTCTGCGGGGACAACTATTTTCAGCATGCAAAAAAGATATCAAGTAAATTTGATCAATTTCCCGGCAAGCCTTCGGTAGCTGCGAGGATAGACTCCCTGAAGCGTCACTTGCGAACATGCAGGTGGCCCAGAGCACAGAATATAGACCTTACAGAAGGCCAACTCAGCAAAAAAAGTCTATCCGCCGCCACACTCTGCTGATTCTCAATGATTCGTCATCAAAATGCACTCGTCATGTTCCTCATAGCCAGTACGCTTACGAGAGGCATTCGATCATCCCTCTGAACATCGTCTATTTTGAATATTTTCAGGGGATGAAGGCCTCCTGTAAGCGCACTGGCTAGGAACATGGCGACAGCATTTGCAACGGTTACGCCAAAATCATAGGCAAAACATGTGACGAGCTCTTGTGGTTTAACCAGCTATTGGGGCGTGATGTTCATCACGCTTGCCTTTCAAGCTGGCAGATACAGGTTTAATCCTTGGCTGGACCCCTACTCGAAGTCGAGAAAGTGCCATACTATACCTTTACATTGACATTAGTGAATAGTTAGACTTTCGAGTTTTCTCAGATAGGGACGTTAAAATCGCAGGTACCTCGGATCCCCTAACGATTAGGCAATAGCCTGTTGGGACTTCCCGCTCACCAAAGTGAGAAACTAATAAACAAAAACCAAGAACTCGACTTTCTGTAAGGTCTCTATTCTGTGGCCAAAAGCCGTTTCTTTCCGTGACCAGACGCCAGCAGACTTGGCCTATTTGAAATTCGTGATGTCCGAATATTTCCACGTACATAGTTAAGTTTTAATTTAGGTTCAAAATGGTTTCATCGCCTTTTAAAACTGCCTTTGCCACGGCAAAGTGTTCGAGTTAATGTTAGTCTTTGTTTTATGTCTTTTTTACATTCGTAACCAAGCAACTGGCGTCGCAATAACTACTGTTGATATAATTGAAATTTGTGACGCCAAAAGTTCACCGTCTAATGCTTCATATGTTCCCTGACCAAGAATATTTAGATATTCCATCGTAGAGATAGTGACATGCTTGTAGTTTTTTGACTAAAATGCTCAACGGCATATTGCTAAACGTGAAATTATTATTTTGGATTTAGCGATGTCATATTTTTCAAGAAGGTTGCGAAGCCATAGGCACGCTGAAACATCATGCGTGATCGATCATGAGTTTCTTATCCCGCGGTGCTTTTATGATCGATGAGTTTCTTATCCAGTGCTTTTCGTGTCCCAACTCCCAGACGAATTAAGCTACGGATACACGGGCAACACTTTTCTGGCGATGGCAATGCAATGGTGGTAAAATCGTTGCATTGCCGTCGCGAGAAAGAAATTGCTTGTGTATCATGCTCCGCGACGGCAACGCAAAGCTGCGCGCAATCGTTGCCGAAATTTAAAATTATTTGATTTTCGGCAATGGCTGCCGAAAATTGGGAGGTGTGGTCAAGGAAGGTCAAGGTTGATGAATGACACGTTCCTTGACCAGCAAATGAAAAGCGTTATGAAGACAATATATTGCAGGTGAAATATTGCAGGTGTAGCCACCTTGTGCGACGGCAACGCAATGCTGTTATCACCCATTGCGTAACCATCGCAGCAAAAATATTGCTCGTGTATCCGAAGCTTTAAGGGCTTTGCCTTTGAGGCTTTCGCTAGCTGAAACATCGAAGATATTTTTGTTCGTAGCTGAGGTGATTCAGGTGAAAAATAATTATATAAACTTAGTTTACTCTGGTTTAGATTTGCTTCTGTAGAAATACTGTATCGCTAACTGGTGAGGTTTATACTGGATCTCAAGGGAGGAAAATTTAAATAGGAATATAATATAACCTAAATGAATTTTAGACCGGTGAAAATTTCTTGCAAGCCCTTGCAAAAAGAAAATTATACATGCTTCACTGAAATATTGTTCAGAATTTAAAAAGTTATATATTTTTAAAAGACGTTCTGTAAAATTCTTTGCCAGAATGCACCGAAAGATCAACTAACTTAAATTCTTCGTGCGATTACAAGAATTTTACGATGTATATCCCATACAAGTAGTACGCTTGCACTTCAGAATATTTGTAATACAAGTACAATCCATCAAATTAATGCATCAATCAACCTTTACGTGTAGAAAATCGTTATCGTAAAATGATTGACCCCCTACCTCAAAAGCCGATCTTGGGACATTTTTCTCCGATATAGTTCTTGCCTAATCTTGATATTTTATTCTCTGTATTTAAAAGAGGTTCGTTGTTTTGTCTCAAGCTGTCTTGCACAGGTGATAGGCCTAACTGTTGTAATAACCTGAAGTTTAGGCCCTAATTCTAGATAGGGCCTGACACAAAACCTGTCTAAACTGTGGGATTCCCGTCCATCTGGTGGACGTGAAATCTGATTGGTTGATCAGCATCATGAAATATTTTGATTGGTTGCAAGTTCACATAAACAATAGTTTTAAAAATAGCTCGATCAAGGCGGCAATTAATGGTCGCCTTGACGCCCAATTCGCGTCCGTGTCGTATCGGATATACAAACTCTCGCCTTCGAACACGGCCGCTCATATGTTGTAAATAGCACTAAAGGAATTACTAAATCTGTTCGTGTGCATCTTGGGAAGATTATATTTTCTGTTTGTTCTGAGATTGTTTGGTTGTGAATTTTTCGGTGCAATAGTTCCTTTAACTTATGATCATCATTTGCTTCGATTGATGAAAATAGTTTTGCACACAACTTTCTCTTCGATCGTACAATGTTTCCTACGTTGCCTTTTTTAATGCTTCGATGTAACTCGAGTCTGGGTGGATAATCCGTAGTGCCCGCTTCTGAATACTTTCCATTTCCATTGATAGGTAGTTAGGGAGACTCGAGTGGAAGACTTGGCAAGCATACTCAACCACAGATCTTATACACGCGGTATAAAACTTGTAAAAGGATCTAGTTTCCACTTCAGCACGTTTTAATTGCCTTAATAAATAAAGTCTCTTAGAAGCCTTTTCCACGGAATTGCATCATTGAAATAAGCGCAAGAGTCGTGTTTGATCCTGGGATAAAGCAAAATATCATTGGGTCCATCTTTCGTAGTTGTTTAGATTTTAATTCATACTCGATGATGAGGTTTTCTGCAATTTTTGACAATGTTGAAGTTAAGGATATTGGTCTCAAGTCCTTGTTAAAATCGGCAATGTTTTTGGCTTTAGGAACAGGTGGCACATCTGCTATTTTCCATACCCTCGGCACCTTGCATTCACGGAAGGATGCATTAAATATATCAGTAATTGCAGGTGCCCAATTGGGGAGTTCATCAGGATCGCTAGCTTTGGAAACACTGATTGCACGTAGTAGCCGCTCCACTGTTGTTTCTGAGACACTAATTGGTTCATCATTGTCAGTCGATAGGTTAAAATCTTCAGGAAGCGGGGGGAAATCTTTCATGACAGTGATAACGGCCTCGTTAATTCTATTTCAGAAACCTTCATCACTGGCCTCAACGTCAAATCTAATCATGGATCTGGGGTCTGGCCGTGTTGATTGCTGACCATTGAGCTGTTTTACCTTTCGCCACCAGTCTTTAGGTTTCGCATCCAGGAGGTTGCTAACTTTTTTCTTATAGTATACTTTACGACAACGTTTTGTTTCCCGATTTACATTGTTTCGTAGCAATTTAAACATGAAATTGTTACCTAAAGCAAATGCTTTTTGTCTTTGTAAAATAAGGCGTTTCAAATGGCTAGTCATCCACGGACGATCATTTGGGTTTACTTTAATTGATCTTTCTGGCATTATGGTATTTAAACCATAATTTATTATTTCTGTAAATGTTGTTAGTTTATCATCAGAAGATCGCAGAGATAACAAAATATTTTCCCACGGGATATTTAAAGGGAAACGGCCAAGGCTTGCAACATTGCTTTATCCCGTACTTTTCTAGTCGTTTTTTGGGGTCGTAAATTGACACGTTTTGCTGGAATCATAGTGATCGTGACATGGTCAGATAAGCCAAACGGTGGACCACTTTCTGCTGGATTACAAAAGTTTTTAAGATTTGTAAAAATCTGATCAAGAATATTAATTCCTCGAGTAGGGAAATTTATAGCAGGTTTTAAGTTAAAAAGTTTCGCAGTTGATTTAAAATCGAGTTGGTTAAAATCACCAGCCAGAACTATGCCACTATTTGGATAATGTGTTTCAATTATTTCCAGTGATGATTTAGGGTGTTCCTTCATTGCTGTGTTATTCGCCCCTGGAGGGTGATAAAGCACACCTGCAATAATATTTGAAAAACCTCGAGGAAAACGTTTTGGTCGTAGTATACACCACAGAACTTCATAATCCTCCTTATGTAGTACGGACAAAGTTTTACTCTCAATAGTGTTCTTCACATTTAAGCACACACCGCCATGCTGCTTATTTTTGCGATCTAATCTAAATAGTTGATAACCTGAAATAGCAATTGGGTCATCTGCGATTGAATCTTTCAACCATGTTTCAGTAAAGAAGCCTACTTGAATATCTTTCTGTTGTATAGTAAACGATATTTCATCAATTTTTGGGGCCAATGACATTGTATTCGAAAGTAATAGTGTTGGAACAAATTGATAATTATCGTTGGGTTTCACTCTTGACTCTTATTCGTATTTGTTGTATGTTTGGTGAGTGGAACAGTTATTAAATTTCTAAATGTGCGTAGGGGGGAGGTCTCATGACTCAATAAACGGGGGGATCGTAGGTGAAGGGGTAGGTTGGTTGATGTACTACAAGAGGTGAATATATTAGGATGTCCATTAAAGGTTTTGGCCACGGGTAGGTTGACCATGGTATCATGGGGTAGTTTGGAGGGACTTGCCAGTTGTAATTTGGGGTCATTTTCCTTAGCTGGTGGGATAAAAAAGGACTGGGATAGTTCATGTTAGGCCTTTGAGTCGACGGAATATTTGAGGTATCACTATGTGAAAAATCGCATTGGTCTCTTTTCAGGCAAAACCCTCTCCTTTGTAGAAAGGGGCAACGTATTCTGTATTTAGGCATATTATCCCATGGCTTTTTTGGGTGCATATGTTTTGGGTGTTTAAAATTACAGTTTTGCTTCTAAATACACCAGCCCCGCCGCGAGAGAAAAGGGCAAGGAATAGTGCTTTTAGGAATCTGCTCATTAGACGGCTGTGTTTGCAATCTTGAAATAGGTATTCTATTTCTATGCGCATTAATAATTCCTTGTTGTTTACTCGGAGGTGCATCTTTGGTGTATGCTAGTAAGGTGCTCGTTAATTGATCTACAATTACAGTGGCGTTTGTCAAATTATCATGTTGATCTTCATCATTGGACGGAGGAATTTCAATAATAGTTGAGCTTAACTGATTCTTATTCATAATAGTAGGTAACTCGTTGGTAAAACCAAAGGAATCATCTATTATATTAAATACATTATTATCCTGGCTAGGGTCTTTGTTCTTAGAGTTGTTAGAAATTTCATTAGATGCATTAATTAATCCACGACCTTTGTTCGCAAGGACGTTTTGGGCTCCACCGCGCTCAAGGGATAATAATTTTGTCTTAATTATTGAATTCCTCATTGAGTTTGCAGATTACTTCGTTTTTTTTTATTTATAATGGCCTCCATGTCCTTCTGTTTAACACGAAGTGAGTTAATATCGTCAGACTTAGACTCTTGTTGGGAAATTGAAGCAAATAAACGGAACTCTAAAATCGTCATATCGAGTTTTACATCCTCCAATTCAGCGATTATATCACTGTTAACACAAGTTTAAACCTGAGATACCGAAACACCGTTGCTTGCGCCAGCTTCCACGTCGCTCCCAACTGGATTCGCCAAACTCGCAAATTTCCGCTTCAAGTAGTGTTCATTATCAGTTTGAATCACAAGCTTTTTAGAGTGACCGTACCATTTGATAGCAAATCCAGAATTAACGGCATTGGAAACATTTCTTTGATCATAAAGCAGTATCTGCATTGATAAATGATTGCTTTCATTAAACCAAAGCCAAAGTAATAGTGACTGCATAAAGAGCAGAGATTCAGCTTCAGATTGGAATATCAATACTTATAGTAACAGTTGCAACCAGTCATAATTATCAACTTGCAGTATACAACTATATATCCTGGAGTGGGTGCTCCCTTCTTCATCCACCCTGATTTCTGTAACTGAATGTCATTGCCAAGAAAACAAGGTAAGCAATTTATATCCCGCTTCGCCTATCCCATACTATATTGTCTTACAATCAACAACAACCATATGTCATAATGGGATCTTATTTATAGCACACAATGTGCAAAACTAAACCTACTATTCTATTTATTGGATTTTCTTCCACGACAAAATATTATTGCATGGTCTGGTATGCTGAATTATATCATTCTATTCAAGAACTATATGCATCGATTATACTTCTAATTTCCATATTTGTTAAAATTTGTTATTGATGAATGACCTTCAATATGTGATCTTTTTTATATATTTACTTGGCATAAACAGACTTTACTGTTTTAATTCTGAAAATTTCCTAATGGATTTGAGTAATCCTGCAGGAATGGAAATTATTGGACAATAACTTCTGCGTTGACAGGATGTGAGAAACATGGAAAATTCTTTTCTTGTCAGTTCTAGAGAAGCATGCATCCTCCAATTAGAAGAAAGACAGTCAAATGTTAGCCAAATTAATGCAATTAAAAAACTGATCCGTGAACGAGATCATCTCAAATCCATGCTGTCAAAAACAATTCAGAAAATTACTGGACTGCTTATAAAACCTCTAGAGAAACCGTGTAACCGGTATACACTGCGAGAAGCAAAAACAGCATATTATAAAGGACAATTAATTTGAAAGTGTCAAACATGACCCTAAAAAGCTTGGAAAACCGTTAATAAAATCCTTAACCGGAGACAACAATGCCATGAAATCAATTGTATCCATACTCATGCAGAATGGTCAAATTTCTTGTCCAAATGAATTAGCGGAGTGCCTTAATAATTACTTAATGTTAACAATGACAGAAATTTCACGGATTACATTAACGCAAACAACAAATAGTTTCAAGTTTCAAACAGTATCTGAAACCATTGTTTAATACCAATAATGGAACATTCACTGACAAGAATTTTTGATACGGCTGTCTATCGGTGAAACTGTTCCTTCAGAGTGCGTGGAAACTAGAGTTATCCTTTTACACAAAAATGGCTCTTGAAACATGCTGAATAAGTAACTATAGCCCAATTTCCATTATGCCTATTATAAGTAAAGTTTTTAAAAAAGTACTATATGATCAATTATATGATTATTTTGTTGCTAATAATTTGTTGTCTTAAAATCAATTTGGTTTTAGGCAGTTCCATTCTACAGCTTCTGCTGATAGGCCTATATTGATTAAGAAACTTGTTAAATGGCCATTATGGTTTAGAAAAACCTGCCCTAAATCTTTTAGGATCATAATTAGAAAACAGATTTCAAATGTGGACTGAAATGGCGTATTGTCAAAAAATATTTAGTTACTTGTGGGATTCCCTAAGATTCAATTCTTGGGCCACTATAATTATTTCTAATCTATATAAACGAGCTACCTAGCAGTCTTGAACACTGTCATGAAGAATGTTTGCCGACGATACGACGTCAACTGTATCTGGTAACTCTCTTCATGATGCAGAAGTGCCATCAATCACGATCTTTCAAACACTAATCATGCAGTGGCTTTGTGCAAATAAACTATCTTTAAATTTTGTTAAAACTGAGTACCTACTAATTGGATCACGGCATAGTATCAGTATATCTATCCCAAATGTATTTGTTGGTGATATACCAATTAAAAAGGTAAGAGAAACAAAGACACTTCGAGTATATATTGATGAATTTCTATATTCATAAAATTGCCAAAAAGTCTCATCCATATATGTCTCGAATTGGGGCAATCAGAAAGTTAAAATCATGTGTAGACCGTGTAATGCACTTGTTTTTCCTCACCTTAATTACTGTTGCGAAGTTTGGGACACCATTGGTACCACATTTTCTGATCGTCTCCAGAAAGTACAACTGAAATATAAGGCTGCTAGAGCTATCGTGGGTCGTAAAAATGAACATGGCCAATCTGAACTTGCTCTAACTAAATTTGTTCTAAATTTTTAATGTAAATTTGAAATAATGCTACGCCTCCTTGGAAATCAGCCTTTGCTGTAGGGGTTAACGTAGCAAAATATCGTTTTACCTACTTACCTACTCGTGATTAAGGTCTAGTCTACAGGTTTTCTGTATTTTCTTGTTTGTTTCACTAATATATCGAATGAATGAATAGCCATGTTCAGTTTGTTTTGAGTATGACAATTTCAATTCAAAATGTTCGCCATTTTTATTTTTCTGCATGCGCAGACGTTTTTCCGCGGTGTTGGAAACAAGACGATAGCAATATATACGCGACCGCAGATACAAAAACCATACTTTGAAAAACAATGCGCTATAATTATGGCTGGTCATTCCCACTGATCTCAAGAATATACATGACTGTTTGCCAGGAGTGGGTTAAGCAAGTTTTCAATCAAGAACATATATTTGGAAAATCGTTTACATAAAATGAGCTTTGAAGCAATTCTGTTTTAAAGATATAAGAAGAGTTAATTTACTATGGAAAATCGGGAAATATTGGGTGGTTTGCCTTGAATGTTTAATATTTATGAATTTTGTTGCTTTAATTTTTTGCGTAAAACATGCATTGCTTTCGTACGGTTTTCAATGTAGCTGTATTAAAGTTCACTAAATTACCCTGTTTACTGTTAGTTAAGAAAAAACCCATTAAAATGCAAAGGAAAGAAAATCAATTTCAACACCGAACTGAAATTAGTCAATAACTATAGTTTTAAGTTCTTTGTATGTTTGCATGGCGATAAGGTATATAATAGTTTTGTTTGTGGAAACACCACGTAAATTTATTACTGCAAAGCTTTCGATCCGTAAGCTCGGATCTTCATCAGTGCTAATAATATGATTAGCACTGATGAAGATTTGGGCTTACGGATCGAAAGCTTTGCAGTAATAAATTTACGTGGTGTTTCCACAAACAAAACTATTATATAACTATAGTTTTGTTTTATTAATTAAAATTCAATTTATATCCCTAACATTTTACACTGATGATTTTTGATTATACAGGTATATTTGTCAATTAATTAAGCAATTGTCATAAACAGTAGTCAAATTTCGATGTACATGCAGTCATTTATTAGGAGTTAAAGGTGTCAATTGGGACGCAAGTCCTGTTCCTCTCTCCAGTCACGCCAATGTTGTATTTTGCATGTTCTGTACTAGTGTCAGTTACCAATTCTTGTTTGTATGTAAATGATTGTGACAAATCAAATTAAAATTAAAGTAAAATTAACATCCGATAACTGTATTTTAGTTGACAGTTTTTGTACTATTATTCCCTATAGTTATACATTTACTATTATATTTCAGAATTGCCAAGTACATTTAAAAACGAAGCTAACTCTTTAAACTAGAAAATAAAGCTGAAACAAAATCATTTTGAGAGGTGCGCAGAAATATTTTGGTCTTGAACGCTTTTGATCGCAAATTCGCTGGACGTGTTTTATTAGGCCTAAAGCCACTCGCGCTGCGCGCTCCGTGGCTTTAAACCTAATTAAACACTCCTGCTCGTTTATTAAACAGTACATTATAAAATAGCCTTTTAAAAGGCTAAAAAAGTTGGTCAAAAGCTCACAAAACCTGTGTTTCTATATAACTCGATAGAAACACGAAAATTTTCGCGCGGGTTGGGTGGATTGCGCGGGAGTTTAAACGGACAAAATACAAACAATATTTATTAGTATTTTTGCACAAGTGAACATAACAAATACTACAAGTTGATTGGTCAAATTTGACGTACTAAGCTGTTATATTCACCTACAGGGGAATATAACAAAACTGAAATTTTCAAAATGGCGCCAAGCCGTTTTGTGGAAGTTACTGATGAAGAAATAAGCGAAATTAAAATAAATTCAGTCCCAAAAAACACAAAAGATAAAAATATTTAGTGAAAATACTAAAACATTTATTATTTAGTAAAATACTAATACAATTTAGTAAAAATACTAAAACAATTATTCGTCTCTGGCTCGGTGATTATCGGGGAGTATTCACCTCGACTTCGTCTTGGCGAACATTCCCCCATAATCACCTCGCCTTCGGCGAATAATTGTTAAATATTCAAAAAAGGTTGGAAAACGTGCGAAAACGCTGAAGAAAAACGTAAGATATTTTATTCTCACTTTGTTTTTTCATGTTTACTATCGTTTTTAGTCGTTTTTAATTGAATTGAATTGAATTGAATTGAATGTTTGCCACAAATATAACAATAACATGCAAGAAAAAGAAAATACATATATAATATTTAGATCTATTGTAATTTGAAGATAATATTAATGGCAAGGAGACATCCAGAAACCACCAGGCTTGTAAAGTGGATGCCTCCTCGGTATTCACACTACAGTATCAAATATTAATATAAAATAACGGCAACGACAATTTCAATATCATTACTATTCGTCATTCGTGAAACCACCGGGCTTGTAATGTAGATGCATTTTCGTCCAAGTAAACTCGCAGAAATTTAACTTGCTGTTTTCGAGCCAGCGAAATTCCCTCGAAAACGAGAGATATGTCACTAGTGATCTTCTTTTGTCAAGATTTAAAAATAACGTAATTAGTTTTATCCATGTTAATACTTCATTTGTTCGCCCTCATCCATTGCCCAACATTTCGCAATGCATTATTCATTACTTTTGCGAGTACGTTAGGATCACTATGGGAATAATAAATGCTAGTGTCGTCCACAAATAATAAAAGTTCAACTAAGCGTACCGAATTGGGAATATCATTGATGTAGAGTATAAAAAATTGTGGTCCCAAAATAGAACCCTGTGGTACACCACATGGAATAATAGCTTCGGAGGATTTAATTTTTCCGAACTGGGCAAAGCTGTTTTCTATTTTTGAAATAGCTTTTAATAATCTAACTTAAAGCAATATCACGGAAGCCATAATGTTCAAGTTTATGAAATAATATTTCATGACTAATTGTGTCAAATGTTTTGGATAAGTCGAGGAATACACCCGCTGTCAATTTATTCTCGCAATAAAGGTCACAACTTTGTTAATCAAATGAATGAGTGCAAGTTTGATTGAGTGTTTCTTATGAAAACCAAATTGATAACGATACAAAAAAAGCCGTTTATGCATGCATAACCTTTTCAAAAATTGGAAAAATTTGCAAAGATTAATATACTGTAAGTCTATAATTTGAACATTTGTCCATATCGGCAGATTTAAAAATTAGAATTATCTTAGCAATTTTGAAACTGCATGTCAGGAAATACTCCATTTTCCAGAGACTTATTAATTATGTGCGTCAGTGGTTTTGAAATAAATTCAAAATAATTTTTAATTGTATGCATTGGTATGTTATCATAACCAGACACTTTTTCATTTTTGAATGACATGCACGAAGTAAGCTTAATTTCGTGCGTTGGTCTTAGAAATATAGTTTCCAGTACTGCTGGTTTTAGGAAACTCTCAAAAGAATGATTTGATGGGAGTATCTTATTGGCTAAGGATGTCCCACAATAGTAAAGTATCTACATAATTCATCCGCAATTTTTTTAGGATCAGATATCATGTTATTATTTACGTTGAAAGAAGTTGTGATTTCTTCTTACGAATGTTTATGACCTCATTAATCAATTTCCTTGTAGTTTTCAAGTCAGATTTAGCTTGCTCGAATTTTGTATCATAACTTTGTTCTTTCCCGCCTGCGCTCCTTCGTCCTGCGGCTCTGCTCGTGTTCCAAGATCCGCTATGTAAAGTGTAGTGAAATGTATCTCAAAACTAATCGTAATCATAGCCAACAGAAGCCTCTGCGGAGAGGAGAGGTTAGAGAGAAACTTACAATCGTTTTGTAATCCATGGAGTTTTGGGTTTATTATATGAATTTGGCTTATAAATTTTGAGAGGAAAACATTCTTCGAGATGCCTGTTGTAGGCCTACTCGCTTACAAAACCGTTATATAGGTTATTTGGATCTTCACCAATTAAGACGCTTGAGATTTGGAATTTTAACAAATTCCGTTCCGCATAATTTTTCTTATAAATTACTTCATTTTCTCGACTTGTGGGCGAGTCCTTTTTGAAATATGCAAACACAGGAAAATTATCTGAAATGTCATTGATGATTAATCCATTCAATGTGTTCTGTTGAAAACAATTTGTGAACAAATAATAATTGTCAGTTGCCGTTATTAAACGTTGCAGTCTGATAAAACATTATCAATAATTCATACAACAGAACGAGAAGTTCTGATGTTACTGGAGAAAATCGACATTTCAAAAGCTTTTGATCCTGACGGTATTGGAAACAAGATCCTTAAACTAACATTGACACGGCCAAACCGGTCAGAACGGTCAAATTAGAGAGGTTAAGATACTCCGGTCCCGGTTTATGGATACGAGTATCGCCATTTTGTTTACCAATTTTTGCTGATGTCAGCAATTTTACCCGTAATTTCTACCCGTTTCCCCGCGGTAAACCGCGGTAAACCGTGGTCTACATGTAAACGACAAACGGGTACGGGTGTTTTCTGTTTAATATTTTTGGGCCGTTTAAATAGTACACATTTTCAACATCTTACCCAAATAAATAATGCACATATGCTGGTCAAAGTTTTCAACAATTTATGGCGAACCTCAACAGCGAAAGTTGCCATTCTCTGATCGGTTTTCTCACGCCGGAGTACTTGGATTTCTTAAGTTACAAGTTATTCCCCGATTTACGGGTACGGGTACGTGTTTATCACCCGTACCCGTAAACCGGAATCGGGGTATCTTAACCTCTCTATTGTTGAATGGAACACAATACATTTGGGCTTCGGACCTATCTGACCGGAAAATTGTGATAACATTAGAATGAAGTCCATTTTTGCTAGGTACAACATAGACCAGATCTTTCCACTGATACAGAGAAAATAATTCGGGTCTGATCGGTCAGGCCATTAAATGGAAAGCGCCCTAAGTAGTAACGGCATTAAAAAATCATTTACAAATTAATTTACTTACAGTAATTTAAGCTTTCAAAAAAGAGAATATCCCACTGAAGGGAAAAGAGCCAACGTAAATCCTATATATACAAAAAATATGACCACCAATATAACGAGAATAACCGTCCCATATCGCTTCTTCCGTTTATTTCAAAAATATTAGAAAATATTGTATTTGCAAGGCTGCAGTATAAATTTTTATTAGAAATACAATTCCTCAGTTATTTTCAGTCTGGATTCAGACCTGGTGATAGTGCTGTTAACTCTATATTGTTCATGTTAGTGTAATTTATCAAGCCTTGGATATGGGGAAGCCTGGAAGTACGTATAGTCTTAAATTTCTTGATTTCACTAAAGCATTTGATAAGGTATGGCATAAGGGTTTACTTTACAAATTGCAAACTCTTGGGCTGAAAGACCGTCTTCTAAGTTGGTTTCGTAGTTACTTAACAGACCGAAAACAAAGAGTTGTTATCGAAGGGCAGACCTCGAGTTGGTTAAACACTGAAGCTGGTGTCCCACAGGCTCTGTGCTCGGGCCATTGCTTTTTCTTATATATATATTTACGATATTGGTGTAGACATTGTTTCTAACTGTTTTCTTTACGCCCATGACACATCTTTATTTGACATAACTGACGACCCAATAAGTTAATCGGCTCCAAAATTAAACTCGGATCTTAATAATAAAATTAGTCAAAAGTGGTGTAAACAGTTGCTAATGGAACTGAATCCTTGCAAATGTGAAAGTATTACATTTTCAAAAAACTTTCTAGACAAACACATCGCACACTATGTTTAAATGGCAATACTTTACGAGAAGTTAATTCTCATATTCGTGTAGGATTGAAACTTACGTCAAATTTTACATCGAGTCATCATATTCAACGTATACATAAAAAAGCTAGCAAAATGATGAATCTCTTAAAAAGTATAAAACATAAGCTCCATATATCAACCCTTATTTCATTATATAAAAGTCTTAATAGACCTCTGATGGAACATGCTTCTAGAGGGAATCCAGAACGAATCGGCTCGTATATAGTTACTGGAGCAATAAAAGGACAAACAGGGTACGATTATTGAACGAATTATACTGGGAAGATCTAAAATCTAGACTGAAGATGTTCATATAAATTATCGTCGCTTTATAAAATAATAAATTGCCTTACTTCATCCTACCTTCGCGATTTTTTACCTCCATATGTCCATCAGAGATCTGATCACCACCTTAGATCTAATGAAGATTTTATCTATATTTCTACTAGTACCGAACGTTTTAAAAAATCTTTTTTCCCATCAGTAATTGCAGCTTGGAATGAACTTGATAATAACTTGTGTAATGTAGAATCATTATGTACTGTTTAAAACACGAGTAGGAGTGTTTTATCAGATATAAAATGCGAGGCGCAGCCGAGCGTTTTATATCTGATAAAACAGGCAAAGAGTGTTTTGAATAGCTTAAAATACGACTACAAAAGAATATTAATTAGGATGAACCATTATATAATCATGCTAATTAGGACAAACAATTATATAATGCCACATGTGTTTTATCATATATAAAGTCACACCACGTGACATATTATGGCTGACATGATTTGCCACAAGGTTTATGAATTATTAATGAGTATTTTAACATTATTTAAAAGTAAACTACGCAATATATATTTTTATGGAATGAAATATGAGCTGCTGCAGTAACAATCTCTGGGAAAATTTCAGAAACCTTCGCCGTTCCTGTAAGTCGCTGATATCTCGTAAGCGAAAAGAGTTCTTCCAGTCTTTGCCTGTTCTTATGAAATGAAACACAAAACGATTCTGGTCATTGTTCAAATTTATATCAAATTCATTTAGTGTACCAAACAAAATGAGTTGGAAGCGTGATGAAGGAACTGTCATAGCTGAAAATCCTGAAGACGTTGCAAATCTCTTAAACAACTTCTTCTTTTCTATGTTTAATAAACCTCTTTCCCAAGAAGTTTATGATGCCCATCCAGCGTCCACCACCACCTTCTGTGACCCCATAAGCGATATCAACATCTCACCTGATGACGTTCAACGTGCTCTTCTCTCTCTCGATGACAACAAAGCTACCGGTCCAGACACAATTCCGGCAAAGTTGCTTAGATGTTGTGCTCCATACATTTCCTCATCCCTTGCTCATCTCTTCAATAGAAGCTTAACTTCCGGTAGTGTACCAGCGGAATGGAAAGTTTCTAATATAATACCCATTCCTAAAGGTGGTCAAAAGAACAAAGTTTCAAATTATCGACGCATATCTTTACTTCCAATTGTATCAAAGGTGCTCGAGCGTTGCATATACGACCAATTGATCAACCATGTCTCAAGTGAACTGAATAACCTCCAAAATGGATTTCTCAGGGGGACGTCTACAACATCACAATTACTAAAGGTTCTACACGAATTTGGTGAGTCACTCGACAAGAGAATCCAAACTGATGTCCTTTATCTCGATTTCGCTAAAGCGTTTGACAGGGTCGATCATCAGCTGCTTCTCAAGAAACTTAGTAATTTTGGAGTTTGCGGAAACTTGCTGAGCTGGTTTCATAACAATCTATCAGATCGCCATCAAAAAGTTACCATTTTAGGAAAAACATCCCAATCAAAACCCGTTCTATCAGGTGTTCCCCAGGGTTCAATCCTTGGCCCTTTATTGTTTCTGTATACGTGAATGATCTGCCTGAAAAGTCCACCACATCGTCTGTTGCTCTGTTCGCTGATGATACCAAGTGTTATCATGCCATAAGAACAACAGATGACGTAAAAGCTCTCCAATGTGATCTGGATGGAATCAGCCAATGGTGTAGGACGCGGCGCATGAACCTTAACGAAACTAAGTGTGGAGTTCCTAAAGTAACAAGGAATCTCAAACCCGTGCAGTCATCTTACCATCTCAACAACGATAACTCAGCCAACTCAACGGTTATCTGTAAAAGGCTTGTTCAAAAAGATCTTGGCGTTCTCATTACTGCAGATCTCAAATGGAACCAACAAGTCTCTGCTGTATGTGCGAAAGCAAACAGAATGCTTGGGTTCGTAAAAAGGTCCCCCATTAAGATGCATGATCCTCGTACACGTACCGCACTTTATAAAACGTTAGTACGAAGTCGTTTCGCGTACAGCTCCCAAGTCTGGTCCCCGCAGTCTGTGTCTTTAATCCTCGAAGTCGAGAAGATTCAAAGACGTGCAACGAGATTCATCCTATCTCTGCCGTTTAGATCTGAAACTAGTTACCAGGAGAGACTATTGAAAACTGGTTTACTTCCTCTGTCTTACTGGCACGAGTACCTGGACTTGGTGTATCTCTTTAAGGCAATTAAATTGAATGACTCTCAGATTAGTATAGTATCAAACGATCGTATCACCAGGCGCGCTACAACTAACAGTGTAACATTAAAACTTTCCAGAGTTAACACTTTAATTTTTCAGAACAGTTTTTATAATAGAGCTCCCAGAATATATAACTCCCTACCACCACATATTCGAGAAGCAAGCGTTACTGTCGGCCAATTCAAATCTTACCTGTTAACTTATTATGAAGCAATGACTAAAGAAATATATAACATTAATGCTCCACAAACATTTAAAAGTATATGTGTCAAGTGTTACTCGTACGCGTGTCGTCCGTTGTCCAGTCTTGTGGATAAAATGTGTTGTAAATAATGTAATGTTGTTTTGTTTTTTTGTTTTTATACATACATATATACATATTATTAGGGACCCTGTAAATGGAGCATTAAGCTCTGTAGGGTTAACCTGTCATTTATGACTAAGTTTGTAAAAAATATATATATATATATATATATATATATATATATATATATATATATATATATATATATATATATATATATATATATATATAATTCTCT